AAAACAGAAGACAGGTACCTACAAAAATAATTTTGCGGGACAGAAGCCACAGAGCTTCTGGTGCCATTCTGAGACAAAGAAAGTGACCTGGCTCTTTCCAAGGGTATTTGGTTAAGATCAGAACACTGTTAATACTGTTAAGGCCTGGTAATGTCAATGGCCTTTGTTATAAGCTGCCCTATTAATGTTTATTTTCCCTTTAAATAAACTGAGATGTTAGAGACCAGGTGATGTGACTCCCTAATTGACAGCTGTTAGACCTGGTGTCCCAGCTGCCTTAAGCAGAACCTGTCTGCCAAGCAGCCAGCCTGACTGCCTTCATGGAAGCCCAGCTGCACTGAACACTCCACAGATGCCATAAAGAAGATACACTTGTCCACAGTTGCCTGCTGCAGAAGCACAACTCTGGCTCCAGAAAGTACTGCTCCCGCCACGACTGTTTAATGAAACAGTTTTCACCAGATCTTTCTGCCATCTAGCAGCCACTAGGTCACCTAGATCACAGGGGAAGCACCTCCCCTTCGCCACTCTCCCTTTCTGGTTCACTTTTCAGGTTTTCTGGGTGGAGCCTGGTGTGGAGCTGCCTTTAATTCCAGCTCTCGGGTGGCAGAGGCAGGCAGATCTTTGTGAGTTCAAGGCTAGCCTGGTCTACACAGTGAGTTCCAGATCAGCTGGGGCTATGGGGAGACCTAAAAAGACCAAAAATAAAATAAAATAAAAATCAGGTCCTCTGGGCTTTACCCTCATGTGCTGCCCACTGGTGATGTGGTATGGGGCCCACTAAAAGCTTTCATGGGAGAATGAACAGCCCCCTCCAACTTCCCTGCAGCCCTTGAGTCCTGGAGAAGCAGAGAGCAAGGAAGCAAGTACATAATCCACACAGCTCATCCCTCTAGCCATGACAGGGCTGTGCAGCTCAGGATAACTCCAACAGTGTTAGGAAGCTTTGACAGTCTCCCCAAGTGACATCTCAGTTTGCTAGATCAGAGAAAAAAATTCGGAGACTAGCAGAGTTAGTGAGTGGAGTGGCAGCTGTGGACAGCTCCACAGGCCAGTTCTGATGGTCAGTGAATTCCTGTCAGTGACTGTCAGATACAGCAGACCTCTTTCCCATTCAGTCTGTCTTGCACAAAGTACCTGATTAACAGGCAGTTCCATACTCCCCATTGGACACCAGCTGGCATCCTCTGGTCCAATTCAGTCCTTACTCTGTCCATCCAGGGTCCATGTCAGAATCAGGGCTCAACCCCAGATCATTCTATCTCATATGGCTGGCATTATCTGAGCTTCTGATAAGTGGCTATGAGTGGATTTCCACAAACCCAACTTGGGTTTGATTGATTTGATAGAGACCTTAGGGAAGTCCTTGCTTACATTACCTTTTTCTGAAAAAAGACAATGTGAAGAATACCACTGAAGAGATGTCGAAGTCAAGGTACCAGGGAAAAAGCAGTGTTCCAAGGACTGCCCCCCACCCCAGGAAGCCCCACTGCTCAGCCCTCAGGAAGCTTCAGGAATCTGTCCTTTGGGTTTTCATGGAAGGTCCATTATGCAGGTGTGGTGTGTTCACTTGCAGCTCCATCCCTTCCCAGAGATGGGGTGGGGCTGGAATCCAACCTTCAGATCCATAGTTGGTTCCCTTGGCAACCAGCCTGGCCAAGGCATTCAGGCACACAGGGTAAGAGTGGGGATTGCTCCATCAGAACAAAAAACTCATCTCCCACCCATCATCCAGGAAATTAGAAGAGGTCAGGAGCTCTGCCAGGGACTAGAATAGAGATCACATATATTTTTATTTGTAGCAAACACAACAGTATGTGTGTGTGTGTGTGTGTGTGTGTGTGTGTGTGTGTATGTGTGACCATGAACAGTTGCATGCACATCCTAACCTCTAAATCAGCACTGGGTTCAAGAACTTTTGAAGCTCTCACAGGGCCTTGTGCCAGGTGTTCATCTCTTTTGACTTGGCCCACAGGCTGACCTCTCAGTCATCGTTTGGTCAGGTGGTTTTCAAGTACCTTGTGGCCCATTCATTGGCCCTGCAACCCTCCAACATAGTCAGAAGGTGCTCATTCAGCTCTGTTGACGCTCCCTCAGCCTGCCATCCTCTTCCTACTGTGAGGAGTGAATTCCTTCCAGAGCCATGGCCCAGCATGTGAGCTGAACCCTAATTGTCAAGGAGCCAAAAGCATGGGCTGGGGCAATCGGCATGCTTTGAGCCAGGAAACTGACAGTTTTGGTCTGGCTGCTTTTTGAAATGTGTCTTGATCAAGTTACTCAAGCTCTCTAGCCTCAGCTCCCTCACCTATGAACTGGACCTGTGAATACCATATCACCGACCCCACTGTTGAAGAGGGAAGAACAAAAGAGCACACAGAATGGACAGGCTGAGCCATGGAGCTGGGAGAAACAACACCCTGCCTCGCCTCCGTGCCTGTGCCAAGACAGTGCATCTGAGCAGTGACTGCCCCCTGCTGAGAGGAAGTCAGGTGGAAACTGAGGCCTCCTGCTTTCCCAGGCCTTCTTTCCCTGGGAATGTCTGTCAACACAGCCACTGTCAGTGTGAATGGATTGAAACAGCAAGTGGAACTGCTGGTGGAGTTGGCAGGAGAGTCGTATTTTCCACTCAGTACAGTCAGAGCTGGGTAGACTACCGGAGACCTTCAGACCTGAGGATGAAAGCATCAGGGGTCTCTCTACCCATGAGCTGAGCGCTTCAAACTACAGGACATGCTTATTTTTAAATCTCCAAACTAAACCACAGAGAGTGTTTATAACCAGAAGAGAGCAGACTGGCTCTGTCCTGCCCTGCCCTGCCATAGAATACCTTATATCAGGCAGGGTCACTGGGCTGTGTTCATTGGGCTGTGTTCTCTGGCCAGCAGAGTGAGTCACTGGCCCCTGAGGTAATCTTGGCTCCAAGTCAAAGCAGAGTCTTGAGCTGCAGATCAGGTGAGAAGTGAAGGTTGAGGGGAGGTTGCCAAGTGAAGGTTTCCAAGATGCTGATAGAGCCCAGTTGGAGGGTGGGCATACCCCCTACCTGGACCAGGCCACCAATGGTGGCTTGAGGCCTTGGCTCCACTGTATGAAGGGGCACTATGGTTAGCAGTCCTCATAAGGAACATGGCCAGTGGATACCCCAGGAGTTTGCCCTCTTTTGCTGCTGTAGCAACTGTCTACGCACCAGTCACAATCCACAGAGACTCTGAAACTGCCCCATAAATCCACCTCCCTGCATTAAAGTCTGAGCTTGTTAAAGCATGGCTCTATCACAGAACCTGCAGTCTCCCCTGAGGCTCAGAAGCTCCTGTAACCAGAGCTCCTTTTGGGGATTAACAGACTGGTATCTGGGCCATTGGGCGCCTCACAGCTGCTCTCTGCTTCCAGAGTGAAGAAGCTGTGTGGCACAGGTCCAATCCATGCAATGGATGAGACTCAGAGGCAGGTGCAGTGCCCGGGACCAGCTCCCTATTAGCCTTTCAGCCCTCTACTTCCCCATCTTGAAAACACTGGTATGGAGACTGACCCTTTCCCCCGTACTGCATGTGAAGAACAGCTTTTGAAAGGACCAGGTGGCTGTCCCCTACCTCAGATCCCCCAAGCCTGACCCTAAAGAGGCCCAGTCATGTACCCACTTCCTGTTAGGAGGGCCTGGCATCCCTCTCCAGTGTGATCTGGGGGTTCTTGAGTGACAGGACCCACACATGACAGAGAGGCACAGTGAACTGCAAGAACCTTACAGATCAACTGAATAGAAGGTTAAGTTTGACCTGGAAAGTGACCTCAAGACCTGCAAGAAGTCTTGTGTTTGTTTCTTGTTGATGAGAAGGTTTATGGAAATTCCTGCCTTTTAGCATACATGCCAGGTACCACTGTTCACCTTTGCAATGTGAACATCCGTCCTCTTCCTACCCAGGGCTCACTGCATGTCGGGCGACTTTATTTAGGCTTGGGATCTGTTAATTGAGGAAAACAGAACACAGTTCCATGCAATTCAGAGAGCCATTTCTCCATGGCAAATTATGGGATGTTTGTCCCCAGGAGTACCTTTTATTTCCCCCTGCAGATGTTTACACCATGTGGGGATGGAAATGTGGACTCCTCATTTTCTTTTCCCAGAAGGTGGGAGCATCTCATGTTGCTGTGTGGTCCCAACACTCATCCCAATCCAAAACAAATGGTAACAAAAATGACCCACGACCATCCAATAAAACACCACACCTGGGCTCACTGGCCTCACTACGCCATGTGACTGGGTGTTGTCAACACCTGGGGCTTCTGGGAAACCGCAACAAGCTCTACAGACTGCCAAGTCCTTCCTCAGAGAGACTGAAACCAAAAGATGAATGGACAATTTAATACAGGCTGTCCTCACTGCCTGGCAGGGCCTTGCTCTGTGCTCTGGGTCATTAAGCTGTCCTGCCTATCAGGACCTTTGAGCTGGAGTCCTGATAGAAGCTGAGGGGAGGAACAGAGGAAACAATGGTCTGGATTCCTGGCCCTGGGGAGTCTCCCTTCTTGGGAGGAGACAGGCATACTTAGACAAAAGCTGTATATGGTGATACTGAAACACAGGCATTCTCCATGTGTGCCACCCATCCACATCAGCTTATGGGGTACCTAGGGGTGATTTGTGGGCAGTGATTGGACTACAGATTACATAAGCCAGGTGCTTCACTGTGGGGTATTTGATGAGGAAAGATGTAACCTTGAGTGCCCACCAGATACAGCATCCCCAGAGGATCTTTGTGAGCCCAGAGCAGGAAGGGAGGTGAACAGAGAAGACAGCACACAGAAGGCCTTGACACATGGAACGTGGCACCCCACCATATATGTTTACAGCCATGTCACTTGTCCCCATGTTCTCACTTGTCCCCAGAATTCGGGTTGGTTCCGAAGGACAGTTGGGAACTAACCAATGGCTTAAAGAAATTGCACTGGCTCTTCACATAGGAAGACTTATAGGACCACAGACCCTAAAAGTGAAAACACACAAAAAAGAAAAGTTTAGAATTTTATTTAGGAAAAAAAAAAAGACATGAAACTTGCAGTATTTTGTCCTCACTGTGTTGTGATCTCTTAAATTAGTCTAAAACATTAGAAATGTACATAGCCTACTACAATGAAAACAGACTGCAAGGGGGTACTCATGAATATTAGTGGCTAGACATTGTTTTCTCATTAATTCAATAAAACCGAGACAACATAAAGTTCAAAACAAACCATATTACTCAAATGATTGCTGATCCCACGTGCTGCTCAGTCACCTGTCAGCTCCCTCTCAGTTTCTATAACAGACTGAAAACAAAATGACACAGAGATAAGTATGGCTGCCTGAGGGAAGGGCAACTCCTTATCCAGAGCCTTCTAGAACCTTTAGGAAAACCTGTGGCCTAATTTCAGGTCACTAGCTTCAAGGACTAAGGCTAACCTCCCAGAAGCTCTCCCCCACTGGCTTTCTGGGACCTTCCTCTCCACAGGTATGTTTACCTTCTATCTCACCCCCCCATCAAAGCTCCCAGGTCCACCACAGCATCACTACACCCATTCCATGGCTACGGCTCCAGGGCCTGCCCAGGGGTGACCACTAGACCTCCTTCACATCATCCAGCAACCTCGTGTCTACTTTTGAACAGATTTCTTCACACACTTAGATTACTGTGGTCTTTCACCCTATCTCAGCTGCTGTTTTGCAATACTTTGACTAGGAAGCAATATTCTTAAACATGTCTTGTAGGCTCCATGAGCTTATACACTGCAAAACAACAACAACAACAACAACAACAACCACAACAAAACCCAAAAACTTCAGTAGTATTATAACAGGTTGTCCAGCAGCAGGGAGCCTCAGCTTTTCTTATCGAGTCTGTTAGTGGACCTGCTAGTTAGAAGACAAAGACAGCCATACATAACTGGCCACAGCAGCCTCTACTCTCTTCTGGAGTCTTTTCCCCTCAAAGTCTTGCCATACATTTGTACACACAAGCTTGTGCAAGCACATACACATGTGCATGCACTCATGTAAGCACATGCTAAAGGAAGCATGCCACAAACACCATGCTCTTGATTCTGCATCCTCTCACTGCACACACACACACACACACACACACACACACACGACGTGCACACTCATGCTAACATAAGCAAACTTCATGCATGTGAATGCTTCTGCTAGCACTGCACCATCCCTCCAAGGATGGGGAACAGAGACAGAGGTGCAAGCAGGGGGTGTGGTGGCATCTACAAAGGCAGTGTGGTACTATGGATCAGGCCAGCTGTCAATGGATTAATTTCCATTACTTTCCAATTATCAGTGGATAATTTCCATTGACTGGATTAGTAAATATCTAACCAACATGAAGATAACATCACCCACTCACAGAATTTTATTTTTTTTTTTAGGATTAAGTGACTTATTACCTGAAGAAGCTTTGTAAGTGCTGTGCCACAGAGAGCTGAAAGCTAGACATACCTGCAGAAACACTCGAAGGCTGAGTGGAGGCTGGATAATTGGAGAACAAGAGTCCATCTAAAGCACTAGCATGGTCAGTGTTTACTAGTGTCATCCTGTGTGTCAGCTGGTATGTTAGTTATTTTCACTGTTGGGACAAAATACCTGACAAAAGCAACTTGAGAAAGGAAGGGTTCATGTTGGCTCACAGTTTGAGGATGCAGTCCATCATGGAGGGAAGACATGGTGGCAGGAGCGTGAGGCAGCTGGTCACATGGCATCCACAGTCAGGAAGCAGAGAGAAGTGAATGCTGGTGCGCAGCTCTCGCTCTCTCTCTTCTCTCTCTCTCTCTCTCTCTCTCTCTCTCTCTCTCTCTCTCTCTCCCTCTCCTTTCTATTTAGTCCAGGAACTCAGCCCATATAATGGTGCCAGCCACATTCAGCATTCGTCTCCCTCCTGTTAAACCTCTCTGGAAACGCTCTCACAGACACACATAGTTAATCCTTTCCTAGGTGATTCCAAATCCTATCAAGTTGATAAGGTTAACCAGAACAAATGGCCTTGTGGCCTGAATCTGGCCTGACTGAAAATGATTCTTTGTTCAGGTCTGCAATGCCTTGAAGAATAAACACTGTATTTATAATTTTGATATTATGTCAATATGGAATATTTTGTTTCAAGATGTTTTTTAAATCATTGCATTAAAATGTTATTTATCTGGGTTTTTGAGTTTTGGGTGCTCCTTAAAACTTGCAAAGCTGTAGGTGCTTTTCTTGTTTTCTAAACTACATTACTGCGAATGCTGGTAAATGCCGTTTGTCATCACTGTGTTGGAGTTCAGCAGTTGTGGAAGCTGTGTCTCTGTCTTTCTTTCATTCAAAAATGGAATGCCCCATTCAAAAATAAAATAAAAATAAAGAAAGGAAAAGGAAAGAAAAAAAAACTCTGCAGAGTATCAAGAAGAAAACCAGCACTGTGCATCTAGGACCTTGTCAGTTTTTGAGCCCACCTGGCACAGTGCGAAGATAGTTCGAGCCACTGAGATACAGAGCACAGTGAGGTGCAAACTGCCCTCAGCAGTGATGCAGGCATCCAGATCAGAAGGACAACCGTGATCCTGCTCCAGTAGATGCATTGGAGGAACCTGAGGGAGGTAGAAACGGGATTAAACCAAAATTAGAGAGGCATTTTCAACACAGGAGCTTGTGGGGTTATGGTCACACCTCCTTCTTGAAGTTATGGGGCAGAGTTCAGCTCTCCGCTGCTGATGCATGACTTGCAGTATCACAGTGAGAGGAGGGCCCAGCATTCTAGCCATTCCTGACAGCTCAGGAGAGTGGCTGCCTCCTCCTATAGTACCAGACACAAAAGAGGATCTTAATGATGTGGTTGAAAGAAAGAGAGGCAGGCAGGGGGATGAAGGAAGAAAGGAAGGGGAAGAGGAAGGGAGAGAAACACAGAGAGAGGAAGGGAAGGAGGGAAAGAGAAATGAAAAAAGGAAGGAACCAATTTGGCCAAATAATCAAAAACTGAAAAAGTCTGAGAAACATTCACAGCACAAGAGCCTAAGGATGCTTCTGGCCTGAGGACTGATAGATTCTATGTATTCATGATGGACAGTTGACATAGTGATGACCTGAGGATGGACGCTGGGCACAGAACCTGAGGATGGACAGTGGGACACAGTGGGACCTGAGGATGGGCAGTGGACACAGTAAGAAACTGAGGATAGATTAGTGGACACAGTGGGGACCTGAGGATGGACAGTGGACACAGTGAGGACCTGAGGATGGACAGTGGACACAATGAGGACCTGAGGATGGACTGGATAAACAAGTACACAGGATGGATGGCAGACTCAGTAGAACAAGAAGAGCCGAGAGATCTGTGCAGCACAGCCTTCGTGGGTAGTAGGTGACTGTGTGATCATTGGTGTTCTCTGTGTGAGAGTCAACATCATTGCAAACAGCATTCTCTGTCATTAACTTCTGTAAATCTAAAGCTATTCCAAAGTAAAAGATTTAAGAACACTAAAGATCTTATTGGCACAGTAAGATTAGATTTGGAAGAGAGAAAAAGATGCTCCTGACAAAATCAAAGGTCATAGTGACAGGCTACAGTTTTTCTCAAACCTCTTGGAAGGCTCCTATGGTTGGGCAGTGCTAAAGTTCCTGAGCTACAAGACAGTGTAGCGCAAAGAGGGCTCAGTGCCTCTCATCCAATAAATCCTTGGACCATTAACAGCAACCTGGGTGTTCTGAGCTGAAAACCACTCATAAAATCCAGACACTAGAGCCCAAGACTGGGACGTGAGACAGTTCTCACTGCCAGCAGAGGGTGAATGTCCAGGACTGGCTTGGCTTCTAGGAGATCCTAAAGCTCTGTTGGCCTCAGGTCTCCTCCTAGATGATCAGAACAGCAGGGTGGACTCATTTATCCTCAACCTCTAATGCCTAATCTCCAAAGTGGAAGACTTGTGACTGGCAAGGCCCAAATGGAAGAGAAATAAAGACTGTCTAGAGTAACAAGTAGCTCAGAGCCCTGGATGTTGCCCACAAGGATGACTCTGCCCAGCTCCACCCCACTATGTTTATTTAGGTTTCTATTTGCAAAACCCAGCAGGGCAAGACTTTCACATGCTGAGTTGACAACACACAAGGCCGCACTGAACACACAAGCCATGTGCTGGCTTGCACAGGTGAGCCAATGACACTCAGGACCCACAGTCCCAGTCGTCTCTCTTCTCTACACCAAGAGGCAATGACCTTCCTATTGCCTTTCACAGGCCTCTACTCAAGGGCAGACCACAGCTCCTCACAGTTTGCCTTCTCTCAAAGCTGAGACAGGAGTGCTGACGTGTTTATTCTGGATCTAACTGGGAGGTTTCCTCTGTGTTCAGTTCCATGTGAGCTCTGTCAGATGAGACAGGACAGACAGCTGGACCTGCTCTGCTGGGAGGCAGCCCTAGCAACATGCCTCGGTGATTTCTTCTCAGCCAGAGGAGGTGCTATGTATGGTTGTCTATCCTCAGATCTAATCATCAGCCATCTTAGGCTGCTCAGCCCAGTGCAACCCATAGACTTAGGTTGCAGTCTCACAATCCCCTGTCCTTTCTCCCCAGCTCTAGTGTCCTCTTCCCCATTCTGGGAGACTTTTCCTTTCTGATTCCCTGAAGCCTTTTGCCTCAATTCTTATTCCACCTTCTGAGGCAACCAATGTGTTCTGTGCCCTACTTGGCCTTTCCAGTAACTATATACAGAAAGCCTTCTGTGACCATTTGGCCTACCTGAACACCTTGTTTTACTTTATTTTTATTTTATGTGTGTGAGTGTTTTGTCTGCATGTATGTAAGTGCACCTGTGTCATGCAGAGCCTGCAGAGTCCATAGGATCTGATCCCCTGGAACTGGAGTTAAGGATGGTTGTTAGCTGCCATGTGGGTGCTGGGAATTGAACCCAAGGCCAGTATTCTTAACCACTGAGCCATCTTTCCAGCCCCTCATAGGCGTTTCTTAAAATGAATAACTGCTCTCAGAGTACTGCCTGCAGTTGAATGGGACTTGGGAAGGTGAAGTGGCTCCATCCTACTATGAGTTACCCCTTTGTCACTACTTATTAGTAACTGCTGTTGAAATTTCAAATAAGTCATTTCTCTAACTCATTCCTTCTGCATTCATTGTCTGGCATCTTTTGTAAAGTAAGCTTTCCTTTATCAATGGCATTTTCCCAGCTACCATGAAACATATTTGAAAGGCAAGACCCTTCAAATGACCTTCAGATGACTATATTTGCTACAACAAATAGAAAAAATGGAGCTCCCCGTTCTCTCATTATTTTGAACTCAGAGATGAAGACGTCAGGCAGAGTCAGTTTCCTTGTTCACAGAGCTAATCACATGGCACTGCAGGAATTAGGACCTGAGGCTGCTTCTGAATCTCTTGAAGTTTGCAGATGCCAGGTTTGCAAGCTTAAATCTTTGCAATCTCCTGCATGCAGACACCTCAGCTGGCGTCACTGGGTTGTGGCTGCCTGACCTCAATTTGATTAGTTCATCATCTTCTCTCCCTTGTTTTCTACCCCTCTTTACCAATAGGGAAGACGGGAGCCAGAGAGAACCTGGATCGTTTTCCTCACCAGCAGTGGCTTGCCCATCAGTGTTCTATGAACAGAGTTGTAACATCTCAAGTACAGTTCAGAGAACTAGAACGTTAAGTGACAGGCACAGTCTCTTTCAGGAACTGTTCACTGTACTCACACTGGTGGTTTTTTGTGAATTTATCAATCCACAGGTTCCTCCTTTCTTCTTGGCTCTGTTTAATTTCTTTTGAGCAGTTGTACTACTGTACACAGCATTTATTGGTTCATATGACAACGGGTGATATTCTGCCTGCCTTGTCTCATTCCTGAACCTACCAATGGTGCCTTGAGATGCTATGGGATGTAATGAGGTGGGCTTCATAGCTGGAGCACTTTCCTGTTGAAATAAAATCACAGGGGTATTGTACATGACTAGACACTGATTTGTTGCTATGTCGAATGAGACAATACCATTATTTTTCTTGGGAACTACTTTTTATTTTGTTATAAATATTATAATTTTCTAATAAAACATAAAAAAGAAGAAAATCAGACATTCAATTCAGGGCTTGCTAGCATGCATGGAATCCTGGGGTTGAACCCTAGCACCATATAAAGCACTCTAGAAATAGAGGCAGGAGGAGCAAGTTCAAGGTCACTCCCAGCTACATAGGGAGTTCAAGGTCAGCCTGGGCTACATGAGACCCTGGGTTTGTTTTTACTTTTTGTTTTTTTAAAGAGAAGCTGTAGACATAGCTCAATTGGTAAGGTGTTTGCCACAATCCCTAGCATCACATAACAGTCATGTATAGTAGATTGTGGTTTATAATCCTAACACTGGGGGCAGAGACAGGCAGATCCCTGGGGTTTACTGGATAACCAGCCTAGCTGAATCAGTGAGCTCTGGGCCAATGAAAGACCCTGTCTTAAAACATAAGTGGATGATTTCTGAGGAATAACATTTAGTTGATTCTGGCCTCCACATACATACATGTACATACCTGCACACATATGAACACACACTCAAAAAGGAAAAGAGCTTAATGCGCTTGTGGGTTAAGTAAAATTTTGTTGACTGGATGTTATTTAAGACATTGGTATTAAATACTACCAGGCAGGTTTGTCTTCATGTAGCATGAGTTCAATAACATACTACCCTCTTCACCTGCCTTGCCTCATTTATCCTTACCCCTTTAGATGGGTATCTGACACCTTCATTTTACAGTTGAGGTTTGGAAAGTATAAAGTTACTTCAAGTTAGTAGATGGTAGAACCAACATTCCAAGCTCCACCCTTCCCCCCATACCAACTCAAGCTATATGTCTAACCATTATCCTAACTCTATTCCTCTGCTACTTGGGGTATGCCAACAGTGAAAAGGGCTCTCATGTCTGATGCTGTCACATAAATTCTGAGAAGCAGACCTGTGTTTTTAGTGGGACTGAGTATCTGGGGACAGGGTGAAGCTCCTGTTAAAAATAGCTTTAAAAGCTGGCTATCAGGGGCTGGAGAGATGGCTCAGTGGTTAAGAGCACTGACTGCTCTTGCAGAGGACCTGGGTTCAATTCCTACCACCCATACTGTGGCTAACAACCATCCTTAATTCCAGTTCCAGGGGAATCGGATGCCCTCTTCTAACCTCCACAGGCATTGCATGACACGGGTGCACTTATACACATGCAGGCAATACATTCATACACATAAAATGAAAATAATGAATAAAATATTTTTTTAAAAAAATTAGCTATCAAACTTAAAAAAAATCACAGTCCCCACTTAAGAAAATCAGTAAAGTGAAGAGAACGGAAGGATCCAAGAGTCTGAGTGGTAAGAGCTGTAGGAGGGAGCAGCTGTCTGTCCTGGGCTGTCGCTGCTTCTGGAGACCCAACACAGCCATACTTCAGGCCTGAAGAGAGACTGATTCTGGGGACCAAGGCTCAGCAGAACCCTGGAGGCTTTGTGGACCCTTGAGGAGGGGAGAGTGGCAGCCTGGTTGTGGTGAGGCTGCAGGGCTTCTCTGTGGTGCCTGGCTAAGGTAATGGGGTCACTGACAGGGTCTGCCTGGGCA